GATAGATAGATAGATAGATAGATAGATAGATAGATAGATAGATGATGGCTAGATGGATAGATGATGGATAGATAGATAGATAGATAGATAGATAGATAGATAGATAGATAGATAGATGTGATTTTTAAAAAGATAAATGTAAAAACATGAGTAGAGCTCAGAACCAGTGAGTTCCCTGGTGCTCAACTTTAGAGAGATTTTACTGGTTTCACCTCGTCTTTAAAATCTCTCTTACTTCTGACTGCTCCTGGCTACATGGAGCAGACAGACTCCTGAATGGGGATGAACCTGACCATGCTTTGAGCAGATCTCCTGAGGTCCCTAGTGTGCAAAGGCTTCTGAAGCATGGCACTGTGGAAGGTGGTAGAACCTCTGGAGGAGGGGCCTTACAGAGGGCCTTTAGTTGTTATCGGTGTGCCCAAGAGAGGTCCCTCTGGTGGGACTCCTCAGCACTCTGAAGAGCCTTGTTACAAGATCCCAAAGTTTGGCCTCCCCCAGCGTTCTCCTCTTCCTGTTGGAGATGTAATCACTTGCTCCATCTGTTGCCCCCAACATGGTAACCACTGTTGCTATGAGGTCTTCACTGGACCTGAGCCAGTTCAGGCACCATGTCCATAAAGCCATTCCTTGGGTTGTCCCACTTCTCCAGGCTGCCCTCACCTCATGCCTCCTTCCATCTCCAAAGCCAGAAGTAGCATGGCTCCTGCATTTGCACGGTAATTGTCATTTCTCTTCCCTGGGTCACCCACTACTCTCTTTCACGTATAAGAATCCTTGGCTATGTTGGACTGCCCGGACCATCCAGGCTCATCGCCCCATCTCGGGGCCTTCTCTGCATCATGTCTATAGAGTCCCTTTCATCATGCATGATCTCCACATGCCCCACTCCCAGCACTCGTTGGACAAGAGTCTCTAGAGAGACAGAAGCAATGGCGTGTGTATGCATGTAAAACAAAGGGGTTTGCTAGAATGGCTTACACAGCAGAGGCTGGGCGGCCCAACAGTAGCCTCAGCACGCTTGGGTGGCTGAGAACCTTGTCATTGCTCAGTCCATCAAACTGGATACCTCAGCAGTCCCAGACTGGTACTGGAAGCCTAGAAGATTCCTGGAGAGTCACTGGCCTCCAGTCCACTTTGGAAAGTAGGCATGTAGGAGTAGACATTTTCAAAATCACAGAATCGTACTACATATAACACTTTATAAACCTTTTTGCTGAATATTCCTTTGTCATTAAAACTCTTTATGGACAGTTTATAAAGGCAACATAACCTTCCCTCACAGGGAATACTGTCAGTTAATTAGACCCAAAGAAGTGTCACCATTTCACCTTGTGGTACTGCATGTGATGGGGTAATTGTTGCTAGCTCACACTCATTTCTGCTTCGTCATGTAGCAGGTATTGTTCCGAGGGTTCTCCGGGTGTCAATTCATCCTCACGACAACTGTATCTAGCATCGGTCTTTCATCGTGATGATGAATGTCTAAGACAAACTACAGACAAGGTTTCAGAGGTCTGGTCCAGGTTCTCGGCCGGCTGGGTCCATTGTTTCTGGGCCATAGTAAGGTGGAATAGCAAATGAAAGGGCTCGGAGGGCTAATATGACTCTCAGTGGCCAGGAAGTGGAGAGGGAGGGGGAGGGGCGAGGGAGGGAGAAGGGGAGAGTGTCTGTTCTAAGGACCTTCCTTCCCTTGGAGCAGACATCCAACCTTCGGAGGAGGCCGCCCACACTCAGGGGAGGTCTTTCTTGATGCTGCATCACTTGACCGAAGGCACTAAGGAAGGAGGGCTCCACTTTGATTCCTGGTATGAGGTTTGGCAGAGACCACATGGGGCATGGCGGCAGGAACCAGAGGCAGGAAGGAGATGAACGCTGTCACACTCATGCCTAGCCTCCGATACCCAGAGGGAGAGATGAACACGAATGCTCAGCTGCTTTCTCCTTCTTCTTCAATGTAGAACCTCAGCCCATGGGTGGTGTCAACCCCATTCAGAATGGGTCTCCCCACTTCACCTAACCCGATCTGGAAAATGGCTTACAGACCTGCCAGAGCTTGATCTCTGTGGCGATGCTCAACCCCTGCAAGCCAAGAAGACAAACCATCGAATTCCCTTCATCAATTTTCATACCCAGAAGTGGGCTTCGCGGGCCTCTCTAAGTCCAATCAAGTTGGCGATGGCGGCAAACCAGCAGTGTCATGGGAGGGGTGTTGCTATTAGACTCTGTGAAAAGAGATGACAGGCTGGGCATTCCTACATAAGATTCAAACCCAGGTTTCCTGACTCCAGAACCTCAGCTTTGTCGTTCCCAGACTTGCTCTCCCCGGCGCATCAGGATCATGTGTTTCTGCAGACTTCCAGGAGGAAAGCTAGTTCATTTGTTTGTACTTATTGAAGGCTTAGTCTGCATGTTTTCCACCGATTCTCACTTAGTCCCTGCAACTCCATACAATCTGCAAACTGACCAGAGCTAAGCTGAGTGCTTTGGGACTACAGATTCCATCCACTGACTCTGTGGTCACCAGAGTAGAGCAGTCAGTAGGCTCCTCCTTCACAAGCTGACCTTACCAGGAGGTGCCCCCCAAAAATGCAAAGTGGAGATTGATCATCCCATTAGCAAGAAGTGCCAGGGCAGCCATGTGGTCTTGCCAAGGCAGGCTTCCAGCTCCCTGGCATTCAAGAAACTACCAAGCACTCATGAGAAAGACCTAGACAAGATTGACAGAACAGGACTCAATGACAACAGAATCCTCAAAGGCATCTGGACCCCAGCACACAGGAGTCTCTGCCCCCTAGGGCGCCCCTGAATAATAGAGGCCAATAGCTGCACAGAGGCCCCTGAACGATTTTACTGTCTTGTCTTGGTGACCATTTGTGTTGCTGTGGTGAAATACCACTGACTAGACAGGTAGTGGTGGTGCACACCTTTAATCCCAGCACTTGGGAGGCGGAGGCAGATCTCTGTGAGTTCAAGGCCAGCCTGGGCTACAAACTGAGTTCCAAGACAGACAGTGCTGTTGCACAGAGAAATCCTGTTTCAGAAAACAAAAACAAAACAAACAAGCAAAAGCCACTGACTATGTAATGTGTAAGGAACACAAATGTATTGGCTCCAGCCGCAGAAGTTGTAAAATCCAAGATGGGGCTGAGGTAGAAGCTTCTAGGTGTGCCATCTCCTGATGGAGCAGCAGCAGAGCGAAGACGGAAGAGAAGGTCCAGTTCATTCTGTTAGAACCCAATCCCATGACAGCAACATTAGCACATGCCTAGGAGTGGAGCACCAGAGCAGATACTCTTTTACAGGTCCCAGCCTCTTCACACTGCTCTCACACAATTAGATTTCTTTCTTTTTATTTATTTACTTATTGCTTTTTCAAGACAGGGTTTCTCTGTGCAGCTTTGACTGTACTGGAACTCTCGCTGTAGACCAAGCTGAACTCGAACTCAAAGAGATCCACCTGCCTCTGTCTCCCAAGAGCTAGGATTAAAGGTATGCTCCACCATTGCCAGGTACACGATTAGATTTCTAACACATACGTTTGGAGGGTATGTTCAAGCCGTAGCGCTCCCAAATTGCATGCCCTTAATGCCACTGATTTCATGCACTTATACACACAAAGCGAATCACAATAACTTCACACACTTCTTCACACAAAGCGCACCCTCAAACCCTTTGGGCAAGATGTAGTAACTAGGCAGATTAATAACTGCCTCTCCCACAGGCTTCTGAGTAGAAACTTCCAGATGCCAAGAAACCAGCTCTAGAGTGTATATTTCAGATCAGAGTTCCTTATATGTCTCCCCCACTCTCCAGGTGCACATCAGGAATGATTCATGTGTATGCTGCACTGTCCCCTCCAAAGGACCCCTACAGGAATTAAATGCAATACAAGAGGTAACTCCAGTGTCCTTTCCATGTTACGGATGGGAAACCCGAGGCCCGGAGTCACAAAGTGACTGCTGGAACAGCTTGCATTGCCTCCAGAATGCACCTGACCCTAGAACCCATCACAACCTCCTTGTGGAAAAAGGGCAAAACCCACCAACGGCCCAGCACCTCTGGTCAGTGCAATGGCACCTCACTCCCACCGGGATACTCATTTGAAAATACAGGACAGGGGCTCGGGGAGATGGCTCAGTCGCTAAAGCTGCATGCTGCCAAGACTGATAATCCAAGATCCCTGAGTTTCAGTCCTGCGACCCTTGCGTTAGAAGGAGAGAACCAGCTCCCACAAGCTGTCTCTAACCTCCACATGTATGCCATGGCACATGGGCACATGCAAACTACAAACACATGCACAGAAATAAAAATAAATAATTTTAAAGTAAATAGAAAAGATGAGAGCAGCAAGTATTGGTGAAAAGGTGTGCTGAAATTGGAGCTCTCACCCATTGCTGATGGGGATGTAAAATAGTACAGCCATTCTGGAAAAGAGCTGGATGGTTTGTTAAAACCTCACACTCAGGGACCCAAGAACCCCTTTACCATTTATCCCGCAGAAAAGGAAATACCTCTCCATCCAAGGACTGGTACATAGATTTCTAACACTGCATAACATCTCCAGATAGAAACACTGTAAATGTCTGCCGGCAGATAATCAGTAATGCTGTGCCTTTGGCGTGAGATGACACTTGGTAGTACAGGGATGAATGATGAGTAGATGCAAAAAAAAAAATGGCTGAGTTTCAAAATGATGCTGCCAGTTAGGGTGGCCAGACAGCAAGAGCATGCTATGTGACCCCATTGATTCAAGGCTCTGGGAACTGTGAGCTAACCCACCGTCACTGAGAGCATCTCCAGAGTGGCCTGGGACCGTGAGGCAGTTGAGACCAAAGGGAAAGGAGACTGGGAGCAATGGGCGTGTTGACTGTCTTAATCAAGGTGATGATTTCATAGCAGTAGACATGTCAACACATGTTACACTGGGCACCGAAAATACATA